GAATTTCCCTGCACAAGAAGAAAAAGAGGGTTTTTTTGAGAATTACTGCCAGCCATTACTGCCTCAACCCCAGACCCCTCTGAAGTTAATTCTGCTGTCAAATTTTTCCTTTTAGAAGGCCACTATGTCCATATAACACTGGTTAAAAGGTGTTGAGACATAATTATTTAAGCAAATTCTTATCACAACATATTTAGGGAAAGTGACTTTAATGAAAGGAGAAAAAAATCCTAAGCCAAAATATTCATTTCATCAGAAATTCCACAGATATTCCATTAATTTTAACTCCCCTTCTGTGGGTCAGCTCTCACTTTTGAGCTCCTACACAGAATAAACTGTGCATCGTTACAAGTTCTAAAAACTTGAAAACATTCATTTTATGTGCTAGGCAAAGATGCAAAAGTGAGGCAAAATGCCAAAGCAGAAATGGCATAAAAATAGCCAACAATTTTTTAATCTGCAGAGCCTTTTACCTCCATTACCAGCTGAACCATCTGTTCTGCAGTTGTTCAGGTCTGCAGGAAGAAGGGTGTAAAAAGTCAAACGTTGTGTTGTTTAAAGCTTTGACAATCTGCTGGGTAATGAAGTTTCATAATAAATAAGTAATAATAACAACAATGATTTCTTTTTAACACTGCAACCAAAATAAATCTGCAAAACAAATTTAAGATGAAAAGATTTGATGGCTGAACACATCTTCAAAACAAGTCTGATGTTCTCCAGCTCCTGAGCAGGTCATCCTACCCCATTACTGGGTCCTCACTCACCTGCTGTCCCTTATCCTCAGCAATTCCTCATGGGAGAGGAAGCCAGGGCAGTGACTGCAGCATTTATTTTATACCTTGAAACTTTGGTTTTGCCTTTCCCCAGTAAAAAACTTCCTCAAGAACATCTCAAGAGCTATTTACTCCTGGCATGCAACAGTATCCCTGATGCCTCAGGTTTTAGCTTTATATTTTCCACATTCTGTGCTGCTTTAGTGTGCAGGTCTGAGCTTCACATCAGGGCATGGGGAGCTCTCTGCACAGAGCAGGGAGACAAAACAATTCCTGCTCCAGCTGGGCACCAAGGACAAATGATCCCAATCTCAGCCCAGGAGCACAAAGCCCGTGGGCTGCAGAGAGAAAAACAAGCAGGGTGGGACTGCAGGGGCTGCAGTGGGATTGGACACTGAACTGCAATGTGCACATGGAGCAGAGCTGAGCCCAGGGAGAGACCCCGGCAGCGCTCGTGCATTTTGGGGCCATTTGGGTTCATCCTGGGGGCAGCCCTGGCTGGGCTCTGGTGCTGCCCAAGGGGGATCCATGGAGGAGATCCTTGGAATCCATCCCTGCTTTATTCTGGAGCTCTGGCCAGCCTCTGCTCTAGGGCAGCCTGCACAAGGCATCACCACCAGGAGCAGGAGATAAAGGCATGGAAACTGGGAGGATCCCCAAGGATGGATCATCTCCTCTGGGACCATGCAGATGAGGAGAAAGGTGACAAGGTTAGCTAACACCACACTCACCCCCCAAATAATCCTTTTAGCAGACCAACAGAACCACCTGGCAGGCTCAGGGAATGTCACACCCCAGCAGCTGGAGCAGGGCCAGGGCAGAGCCCAGCTCAGCAGTTCCTGCTGCTCCAGCTGTGGGAATGTTTCACCTGAACAGGAATAACCACAGGGATCCCTCCATGCAGCACCTGCTCAGATGGTTTCCAGCCATGTACCCAGGGATTTCACTGTTAACAGAACAACCACTTGAAAAATTTTCTTTACACACCTCCCACCATTTTTGGGCTTCCAAACACCCTACCAAATCTGGGCTGGAAGAACTCCAATATAAAGATTCAATAAAATAAGCAGCCTTTCTTTTATTATTCAATAAAATAAATAGACAGGCAGACTGGATATTCAATTAAAACCCTACAGCTTGTTAGACCATCAAAATAAGTCAGGCTTGATCTACGGAGTACATCTGATAATGTCCTCAAATCCTTTAAAAGGGCTTAAATGGGGATCATGCTTTATGAAATTGGCTCAGTGGCCTGAAACCAGGAGATTCTGTCCCATGAAATGCATCTCATTTGAGCAGCAGATCTGACATAGATCAGACTTTTAATGGCTTTGCTGGAGCTCTTGGGTTAAGAGCTACGCCTCCAAAGATGAAGCAAGGAGGACATTTGGGAATGTTTGTCTCTGCTTTCCAGCTAAAGCCAAAGGCTGTCCTTCAAAGCAAAAGTAAGAACTGATGAAGGATGAAGTCCAGCTGGGACACCACCCACCCTTCATCTTCTGCATCACCTTCCATTCCTATTTTCCTGCATCTTGTCATAAAAAGGGGGGAAAATGTGTTGATCTGAGCAGCCACTCCAATGTGAATGCATTTTGTGTCCCCCTCCTTTCGTCTTCCAGCAAATCCATCCCTGATCCCAGGGATTCCCCTTGGTTCCTTCTTGGCCCTGTGGCACAAACAGGAACTTCCACTGAGTCCAACCATTTCCCAAGAAGATTCTGGAATTCCCCAAGCCAAGTAAAGCGCATTCCTGATCCTTGATTTCCTTCTGTCCATTGATTATGCACCAAGTCTGCAAGAGACACTCTGCAGTTCCTGGAATTCTCTTCCTGGGGATTTCACTTAATACAAATAATGTGCATTAACAATGCATATTTTGCTTTTCTTGGGGGATGATTTTCCATAACTCATTCATTATTTATGTTATTTTAATATGCTGGTGATGGCTGCTCTGCACACCCCAGCTTCACCACTCAAAAATCTCCTCAAAGAAAGGCTGAAACCTCTCATATCCCTTTAAGGGATTTTGGGTAGAATTAATAATACACATTAATAATTCAATTTTTCTTTTTGCCTGGTGGTGGACGAGCAGTTTTCACAGTGGCTGAGCAGTTTTCACACAGCAATACCAATCTGCATTAATAATGCAATTTCCCCCCCCCCTTTCTAAGTGGCTGATGGGCAGGTTGCTTATGAAATAATCAGCTTTGATAATAGGTAGTTTTGCTTTGCAGTGACTCAAAACCCAGAGAGACTCACAAAGTGTTGCAAATATTCACTGAAGACAGAATCCATCAATCCCTTCTGCTTTTCCTATGAGGAGCACTGGAAGGATTCACCCACCAACCACTTCCTCCAAGCCTCTTAGGTCAGAGTCTAAATAAATACTGGAAGTTCTTCCTCTCCTCATGACCAGCACTGGGAATTTCTACTCCCACCTGCGGGCAGGAACAAAATTTAAAATCATTTCACCTTTTTGTGAAAGGGAAAAGGTGGAAAAAAACCAACATAATCACAGAATCACTGGGAAAGCCCTGGGGACACTCAGGGGCTCTTCTGCAAGGAAGGCCTTAAAACTCCTAAATATCCCTCCTGGCCTTAGAATATTTCTTTGCAATTCTAGCAACAATCCCTTTCTATTCTTCATCCCCTCTGACCCTTTCTTCTGGTTTATGAGAAACCAGTTTGGAAGAATTTCCTGCCCTTAATGGTTTCCTGGCTATTTTTTTGTGCAGGATATTGTTATAAAAGCAGGTGATAGATTCAGGTATTGATTCCCTTTAAAGCTGCTTTATCAGATGGGAGAGAGATTTTTATCTCCCTGCCACCTCAGGGCCCAGAGCTTTTAGTAGCTGGACAATTATGAGTTTGAAACTGTCCATTTAAAGGAGATATCAATATATCACTCTATGTTTATAAAATACAGGAAGCCTAAATGCCACTGAATTGCATAATCTTTACAGCTGCTGGAATGTTCACAATATTTAAATGCATAAAACCAGCAATTTCAACACAACATAACAAGAATAAACAAGAAAGGGAAGAAAATGGGAAAAGAAATGGTTTTATCTGCCTTTGCAGTTTAACTGGAATTTATTTTTAGTTAATGATAACAGACTCAAAAAGTGTCCAAGCACTGAGCAATAGCAGAAGTGTCACTTGGAGCAGAGTTAAACACACTTTCACTGTCATTAATCATGGCAAAAGTGACAGAAGAAAAATGAGCTGGCTCTGTATATCTAATGTATTAATTCTCCCTCACACTGGCTCAATGCATGAGCAAGTAAAAACAGGTACACCTCCGGAAAAGGAGAGGAATGGCACTCTCGGGCTTTTTATTATGAAGAAATAGAATTGTTTCTTCCTCAAAGAAAGATTTTAGAAGTTAAAAAAAACCAGAGACTTCTCTTAAATATAGCTTAATAATTATGATGAAAAAATAACTAAAGTACAGCAGCTAAACCCCATTTTTATAGTGGCTGACCACACTTTCCTTTCTTTTCCCCCCAGTTCCCACATTTTCTGCTAAGGATTGATTCCTGTTTCTTTGCTGGAGATCTGGCTAACATTCTCCTCCAGAGCCATGCCAAAGCTGTGATTTCCCCCCCAAATTATTTAATTTTATTCCTGCTTCTAAGTTACCTAATTACAAAACCAAATTTTTGCTGCCTTTTTTTTCCCAATTTGGGTAAAATTTCAGCTACTGAGGATGTCCCTGGTGAAGCACACAGGGTGAGCAGAGGGAACGAGAGGTGAAGGAAACCTTTCCCTTAATTCTGCTGGAATTCCAAGCTGGTAATTTCAGTTGTGAACTTCGGCTTCCTCCCGAATTCCTGAGATGTTCTTGCAGCTCTCTGGCACATATGGAGCCCTTCCTAAAAATACCCACCAGAGCCCTACTTGCAGAGCTGGTGACTTTGCTGACACCACAGAGAAACAGCCAGAAACCCAAAAGGAGCCAATTAAAATCTCCAGCACCCAGTCCAAAGCTGACCAGAACCAAAAGCAAAGTGGAAAACTCAAATTCAGTCTCAGAACTGAGTTCTTTCTGCTGGGAACAGAGTCCTCAGGAGTTTGAGGGAAGTTTCTACATGGAGGAAAGTTTTCTTTCCCTGGAACAGCTCATGGAATGATGAGCTCCTGGCAAAAGGAGGAGATGGATAACTCTGTAACTCACAGGCTGTTCTGTCCCCAGTTATTCATGTCATCCCTCTGCAGCTCACATCTTCCTTCCCCAGCCTATTTTTTCACAGCCTGAAGGTCATGGAAGGGATTTTCTGCTGTGGAGAAAGTGCTAAAAAAGAGGGTGACAAAAAAAAGGGACTTAGAAAGCCACGAACAATAAAAACATTTCAAGCAGCAGCATTATAAATAACTTAAGGAGGAGTTGTAGCTGCACCTTGAGATTGTGGGAGCTGTGCTGTCATCTGGCACTGTGGAAGAGCAGAGAATTTCCTGATTTATTTGGGATAGCAGCTGCCTGGAATTTACTGATTTATTTGGGATAGCAGCTGTTTCCTACCTGGAATGGGAATGGGAGCAACTGCTTGGTGGGAGTGAGGGAGAACCAGAAGAGCTTCAGGTAAAGGCACAATGAGAGGTAAGAAGTGAGCTGCAGAAGGAAAATGAGCTGGCTCTGTATATCTAAATTGATTAATTATTTCTCCCTCAGATTGGCTCAAGGCATGAGCAAGTAAAACCAGGCAAACCTCTGGAAAAGGAGAGGAATGGAACTCTCAGGCTTTTTATCAGGAAGAAATAGAATTGTTTCTTCCTCAAAGAAAGATTTTAAAAGTTCCAAAAATCCAGAGACTTCTCTTAAATATGGCTGAATAATTACAATGACAAAAATAACTAAAGTACAACAGCTAAACCCCATTTTTATAGTGGCTGAGCACATTTTCCCTTCTTTTCCCCCCAGTTCCCACATTTTCTGCTAAGGACTGATTCCTGTTACTTTGCTGGAGATCTGGCTAACTGTCTCCTTTAGAGCCACCCCAAAGCTGTGACTTTTCCCTCAAATTATTTCATTTTATGCACTGCAACAGTGAAGGGATGTGCAGGGATAGAAAATATTTAGCAAACAACATAAACCCACTATTTTAGTTCTTAGGAAAAATAAACCAAGTCACTTTGGAATTGTAGCAATGTGGAAAAATAAAGGAACACCAGCAAAAATGGGCAAGGTGCAGTGTGGGCTCCAGCAGCACCTACATTTTTTAGCCCGAGGCATTAAGAGACAGCTCCTTTGAGGGTTTTTTACAGCAAGCCTACAGCCCATCTGCTTTGGAGAGCCAAGACACTAAAGATAATCTCCAAATTAAACAGCAAGATAAACACGGAGCAGGGACACAGCCTTCTCACTTAACCTGATGAAACTGTGTTTTGCATCTCGCCTGCTAAATGGGAAATAAACCAGGGAAAAGGGGATGAAAAGAATTTAATTCGGTTCCAAAATGATTTAAGCTCTCGGGTGGGTAATTAATAGAGGGCAAATTAAGTTTTAGTGAAATTAATTTCATTATTCTTGGGTGAAGCTGGAGTGGTTCAGGTGGGAGAACAGCGTGAGCCACTGTGGTGAAGCTGCTTCTTGCAAAGGTCTGAGCTGGTGGCTGAGCTGGTGCAGAACTCTCCATCCTCAGGGACAGCTGCAGAACATCTGCAGCACATCTCCCTCAATCAGGATTTCCTTCCTCGTGCCTTGGTGCTCAGGGAAAAACACCCACAGCTCGTGTCAGGAGCTCTGTGCTCCTCCAAACATGGGCAGGAAACGCTGACGTGGCCAAGACAGACTTCCTGAGCAATGACAGCTCTGACAAACTCCTCAGCATCACCCCTAAAATAACATCTCAGGTTGGGAATTGCAGTAATTACAGCAAGCACAGGTGGCAAAAGGGAATGGCAACAGCTCCTGGACAACTGAAGCCAGACACTCACATGATTTAGAGATTTATTTGGTTTTCTGTCTCTTTTTTTTTTTTTTTTTTTTTTTTTTTTTTTTTAGTTTTTCTTTTTGCGGGGGGGGGTTGTTGGGAATTGCAGTAATTACAGCAAGCACAGGTGGCAAAAGGGAATGGCAGCAGCTCCTGGACAACTGAAGCCAGACACTCACGTGATTTAGAGATTTATTTGGTTTTCTGTCGCCTTTTTTTTTTTTTTTTTTTTTTGTGATTTCAGTCGTTCCTTCTGCTGCGAGGGATTGCTGGAGGTTTGTTATGGATTTCTATGTTCAGAAGGAGATAATTCAAGGGAACTTTGGGAAAATCACTGAACTATAAAGTGAGATTTGCTGAGAAGTTGGTGTTGGGTTCTCAACATACAGGGACCAAATGTAAAGGTAAAGGAATATTTGGAATTCCAGACTAAACAGATCTTCTGAGAAAAATCTGCAAAGTGAAACTGTTTTCATTATGTCAGAATTTAACAGATTATGCAGATTATTAATCTTAATAGTATCAGTTTATGCAGATTATTAATCTTTTTCTTGCTTCTGTTTTCAGGAAGTCAGTCCTGGCTCCCTTTATTCCCAAGGAATGGAAAGGACCATGTCAGCTGAATAAACCCAAAACTGGTTTAAGATCATGAAATTCTGTGGCCAAACTACGAATAAATATTGCTGTCAGCTTCTAAGGTTCAATTTAACCACAGAAATTTATTCTTCTCTTTCTATGGTTCACTTTAACCACAAAAATTTATTCTCTTTCTATGGTTCACTTTAACCACAAAAAATTTATTCTTCTCTTTCTGTTTTTCTTGACTGCATCGTTTCACTGAAATTTGTGTATTCAGTCAGCAGCAGAACACTATTTATTGTAAATGTTCCCTTTCTGGCTGAAATACTAAATATCCATCCTCTAAAATAGAAAAGCTGAATAATTATGAAGGATTTCCCACCTCCAAATGGTTTTAAAGGTAGAGGGATCACTGCAGTTTAGTTCTGGATTCTCCCTTCCCTGCCTGTGACAAGGATGGATCCTGGGATGAGGTTGAGGTTCATTTAGTGAAGAATGAGCATAAGAAAAATAATAATAAAATTGAAACTTAAAAAAAAAATAAAAATTCCAGTTTTCCAGCCTAAATACCTGTTTTGCACAACCCAAAGGTCTTAACAGTGAAAAATAAATATGGAGATAGAGATAATTTTTTTCTCTTATTAAGATTACAAGGGTCAAAATCCAGAGCAGAATTTTCATGCCCTTCAAACCGAGACCAAATAATGTCACTCTACACCACAATCTCCAAATTCTGAACTTTGCCACTTGTGTGGGAATTGACCCAACTCACAGAAGGACCTCAGCACCACAAAATGTTTAACAAAATTTGCTTTACAAATCCTCATTCAGAGCTCCCAAACCACTGTAAAAACACTGCCTTAAAAAAAATCCCAAATAAATGCTGATTTAACCTTTTGGCACTTCACAAATATTTATCTTTGGTATTTCATTTTTTACCATTTACAGCAATAACCCAATTTAGGGGAAAAAAACCTACACATATAAACATCTTTGCCAATTACAAAACTTATTTGAAAAATAGCTCACTAGAAGAGATTTTAGCCCAAGATGACATTAGTCACGTCCTAAGTTATTTATTTCCCTGCACAACCATAGAGTAACAATAATTTTATTGTCATTTTTTTTTAGAGAGTGTTTCTTTAAAGAGCCAAGAATGGAAGCAAAGCACTTTGTTTTAACAAGGTCATGCTGGTTATTAAATAATTTGCATATTGAAGGTTAAATCCTTATCTCTAGACAGTAAAAAAGTATTTTTGTCTAACCTTGGGGACTGGAAAAAGCAGGAAGGAGGGTATCCTGAATGATAAACAAAAGGGGTTTTATGCTTTTTGGTACTTGCAATTGTTCCCATTCACACCCACTCAAAGGGAGGGAGCTCTGCTGAAAATTAAACCCCATTTATCAATGATTCTCCTAAAAGCTCCAGAGACTGCCTTGGTAAGGGACAAGGCTGTGCCACAGCCTGGAATTGTCCCCAGCACTAACTGCAGAGACAGGGACAGGTGATGGCAGCGAGGCAAGTTTGTTTCTCCTCAAAAATCACTTCAAGGGAAAATGTAAAGGATCCTTGTACACTATGATACAGATTTCAAGGCTAACTCCTGCAAGGCTTTTCCAGCACACCAAACACCTGAATTTGGCTGGTAAAACCAAATTTGTGAGAGACCTCCCTGCTCTTTTCCCAGCTGAGGAAAGGCTGATGCTTTCCTCTCCTCCTGTTGATGTCTCAGGTTTGAGCTTTTCTGCCAAGGTGGGTCCATGGAGGAGATCCTTTGAATCCATCCCTGCTTTATTCTGGAACTCTGCCCAGCCTGCACAAGGCATCACTATTACCTTAAATTCCCTCTCCTGTTTCCTTTTATTCCTATTTATCCCAGAGCCTGTGGTCAGGAAATCAGACACTGCTGGTTCCACAACTCCCCGGAGTACAGAAATTCCCACACACACAGAGAACACAGAACTTGAGCTGTCAATACCTTCCACTTACACTGCACTTATGGACCATTTCAGAAATCAGATTCTGGAGCTTGAGTTCTCCAAATATTTCCCTCCTCAGGACTGTTATTGACTAATCTATCAAAGGATACAGTTCCCTAACGATGCATCAGTGCAATGCATCACCACAAAGGCAGCACCAGCCTGATGATAGATTGCTCAATAACATGGGAGCAGCTGGCAAGAACTTCCAGGGAATCATGTGATCCAAGTTTTATTTGGTTTTTGGTTTTTTGGTTTTTTTGTTGTTGTTGTTTAGTTTGCATAGCACAGAATAAGCAGGATGAGCTGCTCACAGGTTGAGAGCAAGTTCACACACCAAAATATTTTAGTTGTGCTAGTAGAAATTGAAGGCTGTGGTATCTTAATTTTGAAAGGCAGATCTTGCTTTTTAAATTTCCAACAGTTTTCAATAAATTTGTATCATAATTTCACATCATTCTTCTTTCTGATTTTTGCACTCCCAGGTTCAGCACCTTTATCAGAGCTGCAGGTGATAAGCAAGACCCACACTTGCACAGATCTTATTTCAGAAGTCACTTTGCCCAGGGATTACAGGGAATATGTCACTTTACCATCCCTAAATCACATCCCTTATCCGGGAAAAATTAACCCAAACACCTCCAAAATGGCACAAAATTGTTTAGGTTGGAAAAAACCTCGAAGATGATGGAGTCCAACCAGCAGCACCATGCTCACCCAATATTCCCTTCTGCAGATCTTCCTGAACTACACAAAGGGAAGTTTCAACAACAAAAACTTCTCAGCCTTTCCCAGACGTGAATTTTTCCTTGCAGGACAGACTTGCTGCTGATTATTTATCCATCCCATCCATCTCTATTTCCTTTGCTTTTTCCTTTTAATGATTTATTAACTCTTTAGTAGCCTTCTGTTGCCATGTTCCCTGTCTCCACTTGGCACTGTGACATTATTTAACACCCTGAAGTCAGGAAATAAAATATAAACTGAAAACTCTCCATCCTGATCACTCTGCCTGTTAGTTGTGAAGGCAAGTTTAAATAACTGGGATTAGTGCTAAATCTCAAAGCAAAGCAGCTCTGTCTGGGTGTTACAGCACATTCTGCCATTAGAAAAAAAGGCACTTCTACTGTTAAGATTGGATCTCTCCTGGATTGCAGTTTATCTCTGAAAAGGTAAACTGGTCACACTGGTTATAAAGAAGAGAGAGAGAGAGAAGCAAAGGAAGAAAAAGGCTCATAAATCAAAAATGGGGCTGTGGTTCAGAAGAGGAGATGTGAGAGGGTATCAAGATTTTCCACAGAGAAATCCAGCACACTCATGGAAAAGGCGGAAACTTTCATCAAAAGGAGTGAGGATGATGGATGGATAACCTGGGCAGACTATGGAAGCTCCAGGGGAACACTGGGAGCCAGAAGTGGTGATCAGCTGGGTAAAACACATCAGAGGCAGCTGCAGAGGAGTTAAAGATACACAAGATTTCAGGGTTTAGAGAAACTTCTTATGGAGGCACCTCAGAGGCAGAAGGAAAGGGACGTTCTCAGCATCAAAATTCAGCACAGGAAGTAGAGAAATCAAACAGATCTGCTTTGTTTCTTTGATGTTTTCCAGCTGGATTTTAATCCTACATCCTTCTTAATCAGCAGTAATTTCTAGGTTATCTACTCACTCACCCCTTGGCTTTTCCATTTGATTTACAGAAGCCTCTTCTGCCAGACCAGGGCACTGGTGGATTCCTGTGCTCCGAGCCAAAGCCATTCCCACTCCAAGCAGAACGCCTCGCAGATGGAATGAGAGGCAGCAGTGCTCAGCAGATTTGTTTCTGAGGCTAGGAGGACTTGTAAAGGCTGCTAATAGAAAATTTCCAGAGGATTTGCAGGAGCAAACAAGCAGTTTATAGGTGTTTATCTGATAAAGCCCAGCAGCTGTGGCAGCCTCAGCCCCAGGGTCAGCAGTGCTGCACAATAAACCCTCCCTACCTGAGCTCCACAAAGATGGGATTGTGCCCAGGCTGAAAATGCTCTGCAGCTGAGGTGTAACTAAACCACATTTTAACCACGGTGCCTAATCAGGCCTATTTTTATGTCTAAAATGCAACTTGACTCAGGGGCAGTGTTGTAACATGGCCCCAATCAACAGGAATAAAATAAATCCCATTATCTGCTTCAAGTGAGGGCTGTGCTCTAACTGGATTTTCTACTACAGAAGAACCCCAAATATTAAGAGAGAAATCAGTATTCAAAGAGAAGATGTTTGTGTGAACACAAATATTGAGGGAATAAAAAGGGAATATTTTCTCTAGTCCAGGAAATCAGTTTATTATTCAAAAGGAAAAAGGTGTTGGGCCATCAGCTGAGCCCTATTTGTACTTTAAAGAAAGCTGTAGAAAGCAGAAAAATATGAATTCCCATGGATACATTAAAATATTCTTGGATTTAGGCAAGGCCAGGGGTACTGGCAAACAGCAGAATGGCAGAGAGAAAATGAACATCTAAAGGAAAGCTACTGGGTCAGCACATTGGAATTATCTGGGATAAAAAACCAGGCATGGAGTGCTCACTTTCTAAAATGAAAACAATACTTCTAACAATTAAACCAAAAGAATAAAATACCACAGAGGCAGCAGCTCCCAGTGATTGAGCAGATTTGGTTTCTGGGTGGATGCAGAAGGCCCAGTGCTGGCAAAAAAAAAGCAAGGCAATAATCTGGGACCAAAAATAAACATGGCAATGGCTGCTGAAGGCAGAAATCATCGGGGAGATTTTGTGGGGATTGCAAATCATCCAACCATCTGTCCAGGAGGATGAGGCACTCTCTGGGCACACAGGGAACGAGGAATAAATCACACAGGCAGCCTGGCATTGGCAAAGATGCTCCTGGAAGCTCATCTGGAAAATGATTCTGCCATCAAGGCATTGCAGGAATGAAGCAGGTGCAGGTCAGAGCTATTAATTCCCCCGGAATTCAGATCCATGCACACATTTGCCAGATTTGGTCTCATTCTTGGGACAATGGAGCCTAAATGGGATTTTTTGCCAGCATTTGTGAGGTTTTGATGCCAGTAGGAATGTTTAAAATCAAGCAATGAAACCTGTGTGTCTCAAGAGGTGAAGGACAGGAGCAGAAAAAAGAATTTCACAGGAATTACAAACTGCCCTGATGATGACACAAAGGTTGGGCCTAATCCTGCATGGAAATATTCTCCACCCTTTATCTGAGCTCCTGGAAAACATTCCC